CTCTCTCTCTCTCTCTCTCTCTCTCTCTCTCTCTCTCTCTCTCTCTCTCTCTCTTCGCCTTGCGCACGCGAATTCGATTTAGTAACCGAAAAAAAAGGAAGAGAGGCAAAAGAAAGAAAGGTAAACTTTGTTTACGGCACGGAAAACTCGCGGGGAATTAGATGAGACGATGTAAATCACCGCCATTGTTCCCGACGCGTGGATTTTATTTCCGCGCGCGATTCGTTTTGTAACTCCGACCGCGCAAAAGCGAGCGAAAGCAAGGCCGATCGGCTTGAATGGCGGCGATCGTCTTCCACCTTGGAATTTGATTTCATCGTAGAATTCGTTCGCGCGAGGAACAGAGAGAGAGAGAGAGAGAGAGAGAATTTTAGGCCGTCTCCAACACCGATCCATTGTTCGCGCGAATGGGAAACGCAAGTATTCTATATTGGAGAGAAGAATATTGAAGTCGTTAATACGATCGTATAAACTGCGTTCCGTATATATTATGTTAGATCCAGACTCATTTATCTGTGGTAAACGAGTTGGAGTGAGAGAATTATTTCGAATACCGAACCGAGCGGAATTTTCTAACGCAACAACTTTCATTTTGTGCCAATTGACCGTAGCGACTGTTTCCAAATTCAATCAACCGCACTTTTAGAACAAACGATCGAGAAACTAACCGGTGTGCGTGTGTGCATGTGCGTACGTGTGCCGCTAATACACAATAATTATTATACGCGCGCGGTAAGACTCCGCGCGAGAAACCCCTGCGTTTATCGATTTAATTCTCAAACGTATACTTTCAATTCGTCCGCTAGAACGTGAACGGTGGGTGGGAAACGGACTGGGAGCTGTGCGAGCGGACAACAGGGGGAACGGAGGGACAGGGGCGAGGAGGGGGAGGGGTGGGGGGCACGAAGAGAGTTCAAGCAGAGCAAGACGCACGGGGGAGAGCGCGCACCGAAAAAATTGCGCCCGCTAAAAAATCCGAAACTCCATCGTATGATTGCGCGCGCGAGCGAAATATTTATCCTTATACAATATATCGTCAATGACTCGCTGAGTATCACAAACAAATCACCGTCGCGCGTCCACGTCCCGACGATATTCCGCGCGGTATAGTGTAAATAAAAACAGGATTCACGCTCGGCGAATATATCGCCGCGAAGAAAACGACAATAACACTTTCCGTCGCGGAACGAGGCGAAACTCTCTCCGCGGACTGTACATGCCTTTTTCGACGAAGCACTACGAAAACATTCCTCTTTTTTTCACCCTCGCCACCGTCACCGCCACCGTCGCAGCCACCGCGGCCGTGTAGCCGTATAGCCGCGATTTTATTCGCGAGATGATCTTAAAAGCCCTAAAATTGGATTCGCATTCGGCCACGAAAACACAACAGTGCTGTCCTTTGTAATAACAACGTAACCGTTTATTGATTCGACTCTCGAGGGACATGTGACGGATAATGCCGCCGCACAGCTTCTACCTCGTCTTTCCGTTCCTTTTTTAATCTTCGTATTTTGTATCGCGACACGCACGCACACAGGAACAGTCTCGTTTGTCTCGACTAGCGATATCAATCAGCGAAAGCTGATTCCGCAACGAAGGGGAGAGAGAGATGAGGATCGGGAAACAATGCAATTTCTCATTAAATAATCGTTAGGACAATGTGAGTCGGAGTGGCTGTGTTAAATCGGGTTAAGGCACATCTATAAATACCTCACTAACTTAGAGTAAGAGAGAAAGAGAAGGAGAGTGGTATGGAGGAGGATCGGTGCGAGAAAGAGAGAAGAGAGAGAGAGATACGGTGTAGCGAAGTGTAGTCGGCGAAAGAGAGACACAAGACATAAACGGAGAAAGATACAGGCGAAGAAAGAGAGAAATAGAGAGAGAGGAAAAGAGATACATGGGGGAGAGGAAGAGAGAAAAAGTACAGAGACCGACAGAAAGAGAGAGAGGGGGAAGAGGCAGAGTCGGCGGGAGACGCGCGAGGGCGAGATAAGGACGGAGCCATAAACTTGACAGAGAAGATCGAAAATGAAACAGAGATGAGTGGATGAACGATGACGACGTAAAGAAGAGGAAGAGAGAGACAAGTAACCAGTCTATCTAATAGTACGGCACATCGGAGATACATACAATGGTATTCGTTGCCAGATGTCTAACTACACGATCATATCCCCACCATTTTCTACCCCTTCCGCCCCACTCGTCAACACGCTGTCACTTCTGCATTACGGTCGAGCGAGTATTCGTCGTGGTAAATCTGACGGTTACATAGGAGGGGGAGCAGAAACGAGGGAGTGAGGAGGGGGCAACGGCAGCAGCAGCAGCAGCAGCGGCAGCAGAGCGAGAGAGAGAGAGAGAGAATCAAGAGAGAGAGGGGAGGGGGCAGGACAGAAGCGCGGAGCGGAGATTAAAAAATATAAAGAAGAAAAATGATTAGAGGAAAAATGGCGAAAAAGCGTTGAAGCGCCAAATTTGTTTTGTGGCGCTACGTTACGGCGACCGGACGAAATTCACGGTTTACCCGGCATCCCCTTCGACACACACTCACCTCTATCTTATCCATTTCTTCGCGCGGCACTGGTGTCACTCACTATTCCCACAGTCATCTAGGATCCCTTGGAGCACACACACACTGACGGCACATAGCGCGCACGGACGTGTATCACCGAGAGCTACTCGCGGGATCGCGGTGTGCGTGTATCGGAGCGGTATAGGTTTGACGCGCGCGGACCAGCGACTCACGGTGCGGCGCACGCCGCTGTCCCATCAAGACTACTTTGTATTTACTCTAATTATGTGACGTCACGGATACACTGGCCGCCCCACCAACTACCGGCGGAAGCGGCCGAGCGCGCCCGAACTCGGCCGACGCCGCGGCGGCGGTGCGCATGGCGCGACGTTCAGTCAGCGCTGGTCACCTGTCGTTCCGCGCCAACCCGCGGCAGTTCCTCGTAGTCGCTCGCAGCATTCGTCGGAAGTGCGCGCCGCGCTCGTCCACGTCGCTCGCGACCGTCGCCGTGTACGCATCGTCCGGGCGCGTCGTGAGAGCAACGTCGACGTAGAGAGCATCGTCGTCGGCTCGCGACACTCTGCGCACTTCATTCGGATCGTCGTCGTCGTCACGAGTAATCGTGCCGCGCCGAATGGCGTGATCGTTCCGCGAGAACATGGTGGCGATGAGGGTTCCGAGGTTGCCGAGGATTCCCAAGATTTTACGTGACATTTCAAGTGAGTGAAACCTGTGCTGCCGTTTCTCTCCTTTCCGTTCTGTTCTTCGAGTGCACACACGTGTTTTCAAGCTGCGACGCTGCGAATTACCACGGGCGATTCGTCGTGGCTGCGATCCACGGAAATGTGGCTCGTCATGCCTCTCGTTTGCGAGCGCGATGGTCAGCGTGCTGATGCGAATTGTGAAGTGACAGGAGAACACTGCGTGCGTTCTAGGTCGTCCGCTTCGGGCGGCAACCGAATTACACGGAGCTCGTGTAATAGGTGGCACACTTGGGTACGCGCGTGAAATTCACGTGTCGGATATAAATATTGAAATGTGCGTCGATTCGCAAATGAAGGCTATATCAACTTGCTTCGATCGCGCGGAAAGGTTGTGCAGGTAATTTAGCGCATCGCATCGGTCATACTTATAAACGCCAGCTAATGTGAATGTGACAATCGTGCCGGATCGGAAAAGACACGTGTACCAAATGCGGAACAATAGCTGGTGAACATACCTCTTACCGCGTTCAGCATGACCGTTCGTTAATCGCGACGGGCACGCGGGATTTGAAAAGCAAATTCCGGCTTTTTTTCGACTGACTCGTTGTTGTACATGCAAATCCGACTCCGCGGCGAGTTCATTCACGGTGACGTTTATCACGACGACTACCGCGCCGTCGATCTGTGGCATCTCGTTATTTGCATACAAGCGAGAAAGAAAGAAATAAACTTTGCATTTTTTTTTTAATGTAAGAAAAAATCCAAAGGGAGGGTAAGAAAAGAACGCTGTTCAATTCATGCTTCGATCATCGTCGCGCTCACGTTTCATCCGGGTGTCCAATTCAGCCCCGAAGTATTGTTCGTCGTATTTGTTCGTCATACAAATTAATATCCTGTGGGGAGAATGTGCGCGCGGGCTTATAGGCCACATTGTTTGCATACGCTGTGAAGGTGTGAGCAGGTGATGCGAATGGATGTACAACTGCGATCGAACGCATAATAAACGACACACTATCGTTGAAAAATCATATTCGTTTGTCCCATTTATTATCCAAAGCTCTTTTGTCCAGTTCTTCCGATCATCCGTTTCTCACAAGACTACCGACTTCTCGCAAATTGGCTCCCCACCTCTCGCTCTCACAGATTACGTTTGCGGTGCGCCGCCCTGACCGATCGAGTGTAAACGCAAAGAAAAACAATGACACACTACGTCTCGCGTCGCAGACGCCGAGACTCCCCCTCGCCGTGTAGCAGTCGCTCTGTATAACAAATAGATTCGAAACGCTTTTTTGCATCGGCGACTTGAAATTATAACTCCGTTTTGCCCCGCGCAACTTTCATTAGATCGTAAAGGACCGAGGACCCCACGCGCGCGCACACACACACACACACAATCGTGCGGGGTCGCTCTCCACAGACAAAGATTTTCTCTCCCTTTTTATCTTTTTTTGCTTTTTGTTGCGACAGAAGGCAACGTGTACGAGAAGGAAAGAGGAAGGATATATGTACGTATTATATTTACATAAGAGTATCGGGTGCCTCTCAATCGGGCGCTTAGGTTTAGGCCTAATTCGCGAGACACTGATTTAACACAGCGCTAGGATTAGCAATACTACATACAGGCTGGTATAGTAGTGTCGTAGTAATTAGTTCGTTGTTGTTCTTTCGCGCTAGCAATGTGTGATCCCCGTGTGATTTTCTATTTCTTCTTTTTGTTCCGTTGCAGCAGTTTAATAGCGAGCCAAGAGCCTTTTCGAGCGGGCTTTTCGCGCGCGCGCGCGCGTTCAACGTTATAACGTTGTGACGTCGTCAACCGATTGCGATTTGTTACTTCGCTTATGCAATTTCGAGAAAGATGGGTCTCCGCGCACAGAGGGCCGACGATTGTCGATCGAGTCAGCTCTCCTGCCGGAAATCATAATCGATATTGTGCGTATCGAGTGCGAGAGAACACCCCGCGTCTCGGAGAAAAGCATAATAAACGGATTCGGGGGAATTTCGAGGTTTTTCCGAAGCTGAAGCGTAATAGTCAACGAGATTCGTCTACTTAAACCTATGCAACGGAGATACAAATGCAGCGGGGCCATTGCGAAAAACTCCACTGTGCAATACGCGCGGTTGCGCGCGCTGCGATAAACTGCACCGTCTCCCTCCCCCCCTCTCTCCCTTTTATCTCTTATCTCACCGTGATACAAAACTAGATATCGCTTTCACTACACGCCGATTTGTAACGGGAGAGCTACTTGGAGCTTTGTATTCGCAATTCGAAATCATACTAGAAGGCGCGCGCACGCGCGCAAAGTCTGCGATGGTCATGGAGTCGTCGCTTTCCACGCATTCGTTTATTTATTTCTTTCTTCTTTTCTCCTTCCTTCACGCATGTTGAGTCGTTGCGTGATCGACGAAACGACGAGACGCGAACGTCTATCGCACGTGAGGACTTTAATTGACACGATTAAGTACGAGCGAGGTCCTCGAGTTTTTCGTAATGGCCGGATCCCCCTTCGATCGTACTCACAAATTCCACTTGAGTCTGTATGCGGAACGTTTTGCGAACAAACTCGAGATTCGTGAACTCATCATTCCGAGCGTCGAGAACGCGCTGGGGCTTCCTCATCGACTTGCCGTTTCGACGTTGCCTCGAGTATCCAATCCGGTTCATTTCAATTTCATCTATTTATTATTCGAAAGAGAGCTAAAGTATGTGTGTGAGAGAGAGAGAGTGTATGTGCGTAGATGCTGATCGAATCACTTTCTTTAGAGAGTCACAAGTATCTTTCTACATGAACAATCGAATCGCGGGGCAGGAAATGTGTCGCGTAAACGCACATGCACACACATTCTCTCTCTCTCTCTCTCTCTCTCTCTCTCTCTCTCTCTCTCTCTCCACTCCTTCCTCTCTTTTTTTCTGCCCGGTCAAGATCGAATTCGCGAGGGAACGTAACGCGCGAAAGAGATAAATGGAATTCGCTGAGTTCCGAGCGCACCGTTTTAACAACGACTGATCTTCGCCTAGACTAGTCTTGGTACCATGACCAGAGAGTGTAAGTGGATTGGGTAAAGTATCACAGCTGGCCCCCGGTAACATTGAAATCAAAAATAAACGAGGGGTCTCGGGGGCCTTAAAAGAGTCACACGGTCGCCCCGACTCCGTCCGCTCGGAACCGATTCCTTACGCGTTATATAACCTACCCGTCTTTACGTATTGTTGATAAGTCACATCTATGAAACGTAGAAAAAATTATACAAATAGTACATATCTAAGTTCTCGAGGTTCCTTGGGGACGGAGCTGACCCGGCCAGGCTCTCCCTTTGCGCGGTATTTATATCATATATATATATGTATATATATATGTATGTATAATATGTATAATCGTTATTATTAATAATAATATTAACAATGTCATTGTGTGTGTTATCATTAATATTATCATTATTATTAACTCGCACGCTAAGGTGATCGCCGTAACGGTGCACGAAACGTGCACAGAAAATTGTGGCACCCGTCAATAATCCAGTAATTGCGAGAAGCGAAGCGTTCCTGCTAGAATTGAAATTGTGGTCGCGTACTATCTATGTAATCTAGAAAATCATGGCGTAAACGTATGCGAATCGAAGAATATAGAGGGTCAATATCGGCGGGACGTAATTTTCAACCGCGAACGGCTCGTCCGCAATTTTTATCTGTGCAATTGCACCGGCGCGGCGATACATTTCTATTGTATTGAGGAAAGCGTGTCGAGATCGCACGAGGCTTCGTAATTTCTCTCGAAACTCTACTTTATACAGGAAAATTAGGATCACAGTTTGGATCACCTCTCGCAGACCTTTTCCAGTCTTTGCGTCTGGTGAAAATTAGCGCATCCTCCATTTTCCCTTGCACGACGTTTCCATTACAAGTTCTTCTTTTTTTTCTCTCCTTCCTTTTGCATGGAGAATCTGCTTCCTGGAATGTTTAGGTTTAAACGAAGTTTATGACTCGAGTAGCTAGAGATCCAGACATGAGGTTTACAAATCATGTACGAGATCACTCAATAAATATACGTATCGTGCGCCACGCGAATATATTTTACCGACTAAGGGCCGTGACACACAGAAACTTAAGCAGTAAGCAAGCTGACCAATCACAATCGATCGATCGCTGATTCTTCTTATGGTCCAAGAATCAACGACTGTGATTGGTCAATCTGTTTACTGCTTATGTCTTATTGCTTAAGTTTTTCTGTGTGTCACGGCTCTAACTGATGATTGCGTGGCGCAGTAAACGAGAGACAATGGAACAAACAGCGACAAAAGGAATACAGACACAAATAGTCAAACAATATACACGATGATCTCATATTAAATAAAATCATTCGAATAACGTCAAATAGAAACGTTACCGAACACTTTTTTTTGCTTTTTTTAACGAGCCATTGACACTTTGATAATTCTAAATTAATGATTATTCTTAAATCGATGATTATTCACCGACATAACACAAGAACGATACACACAGTACGGATAGACTCCGACGAGACACAATATTGGCAACCCAAGGCTACATATGGCTATGCGATACCTGAGACTTTCGCGACGTTTCAGCAAGAGTCTGATATGAGGAATCATACGAGGAATTTAAATTCCTCATACGCGAATTGAAGCCTCGCACGAACGCGGTGCCGTAATATGTCGAAATCTCTTAAAATATTTTCTATTTCTTTTGACTTTTTCGTGTTTCGCGTCGCTCGAAGACGACGGCTCTCCTCGGCCGCGTAACATATGAACCTAGACACTATTGTGTCCAAATGAAAACCTATTCGATACAATATCCAATTGCGTGTGCCATTCGTTTCGCAGAGTTCTCTTTTTCTCCATCTCCCCCCCCCCC